TGGATCATAGAAAAAGCAAGAGAGTTCCAGAAAATCATCTGTTTCTGCTTTATTGACCACACCAAAGCCTTTGACTGTGTAGATCACAACAAACTGTGGAAAATACTTCAAGAGATGGGAATACCAGACCACCTCACCTGCCTCCTGAGAAATCTGTATGTGGATCAAGAAGCAAGAGTTAGAACCAGACATGGAACAACAGACTGGTTTCAAATAGGGAAAGGAGTACATCAAGGCTGTATATTGTCACCCTGATTATTTAACTTATACGCAGAGTACATCATGAGAAATGCCAGGCTGGATGAAGAACAAGCTGGAATCAAGATTCCTGAGAGATATATCAATAACCTCAGATATGGAGACAATGCCACTGTTATGGCAGAAAGTAAGGAGGAACTAAAGAGCCTTTTGGTGAAAGTGAAAGAAGAGTGAAAAGGGTGGCTTAAAACTCAACATTCAAAAAATGAAGATCATTCAGTCCCATCACTTCATGGCAAATAGATGGGGAAACAGTGGAAACAGTGACAGCCTTTATTTGGGGGGGGGGGCTCCAAAATCAGTGCAGATGGTGACTGCAGCCATGAAATTAAAAGAAGCTTGCTCCTTGGAAGAAAAGCTATGACCAACCTAGACAGCATATTAAAAGGAAGGGACATTACTTTGTCAACAAAGGCCCATCTAGTCAAGGCTATGGTTTTTCCAGTGGTCATGTATGGATGTGAGAGTTGGACTATAAAGAAAGCTGAATGCCAAAGAATTGATGCTATTGGACTGTCATGTTTAGAAGGCTCTTGAGAAGCCCTTGGACTGCAAGGAGATCAAACCAGTGAATCCCAAAGGAAATCAGTCCTGAATATTCATTGGAAGGACTGACACTGAAGCTGAAACTCCAATACTTTGGCCACTTGATGCCTGACTCCTTGGAAAATATCCTGATGCTGGGAAAGATTGAGGTAGGAGGAGAAAGGGATGACAGAGGATGAGATGGTTGGATGGCACCACAGACTTGATGGACATGAGTTTGAGCAAGTTCCAGGAGTTGTTAACGGACAGGGAAGCCTGGCATGCTGCACTGCATGGGGTCACAAAAAGTCAGATGTTCCTGAGCAACTGAACTGAACTGAATGACAAAATTTATTAGTACATCATACAAAAGCTCTTCGTGATTTTTCCTACTGCTTTAGCTTAAACTCCTATCAGACTCAACTCTCCCTCTTATGTTAGTTGCAGTGGACTACAGAGTTTATAATATTTTAAATAAATTTTCTGCTTCTCATCTTTTACAGCAGTATTTTTTGCCTGCTATTTGCCTGCGTTAAATTTCCTCAAGTTTTATGACACAACTGTAATGTCAATCTGACATTATAGGATTAATTCTTTGACTTTTCTCTCAACCTAATGAGATGCCTTCTCTGTGAAATTTTAACATCTTAGACATATATCTATTTCAAAGCTTGTTATTATATTATGTTGTACTTTTTCACATTAATGTCTCCTTGTTAGATTGTTAGCTCCTTAAACAAAGGCTGTACCTTAGATATCTTCAGAGTTTCAGTGCCTAGAGTCTTACAATATGTTGGGTAAAACATTATTGAATAATTTAATGAGTCATGACATAGTCATGAAATATTGCATATATTTTAAGAGTATCAGCACAGGAGGATCTAAAAACAATATCTCAGTAACAACTGATTTCAGAAATACCAATCATACCAAAATTAATCATAGGAGCTTCACTTTAGGTCAGGCTCCACTTTGGGTTTTCTTTGTGGAGGCAAAGAATGACTTTTAATGAAAACTGAAAAGGATAATTAAATAATTCTGAGGAGTTACCATCTCTGATTAGACTAGCCTAGACATCTCTCATCTTTGTAAGAAAATTTTCCTAAAATTTAGTCATCTTACACTTTTCTCTGGAATTTCTTTGAATTTTCTTCCTTGAGACCAATGCTTTATGTATGTCTTGTTAAAATAAAGGAGAAACAACTGCATTTTATATGGTTTAAAATACTGCCCAATAACATAAATCATTTTTCGTTGATAAAGATCATATTTCTCATTCTCTAAATGGCTAAATTTGATTTTTCATAGTCAACTCCATTTATAACTAAGTTTATCAAAACATGTCTTTCTATACTTACTAAAGTTATGAATTTCTCATTTGCCAGTAAACTTCTTATCTAAGAAAAATATATATACTTATCTATTAATATAATATCAGTCTCTTATGAAAAGAAGAATTTTTATCAGTGATCACAAATGCTTCAAATGTTAAGAAGTTAAAAGATAAAGTATGCTTTGATATACAGCCTTTATAATACAGATTATTCAGGGATCATGTATTAATGATATATGGGTATTCTACTCCAGATCCATGAATAAAGTTTCAATCTTCCGCATACTAAAATTGATTAAGCAATTAATTGGCATCCTCATGGTCAAAGTGAAATCTGTACATAGGTTTCACAGCATATGTATTTAGGAGTCAACTGTTATCTATCAACATGAATAAACATCTCAATTGTTTCTGTTAATCACTTCCATTACAAATTTGTGGTAGAAGATCAGTTTGTTCCTCTATCAAATTTAAAAGGTCACTTTAAAGAAGTTTCATAACTGGCAAGTGGGAACATGATTATATCATCTATCAATGATAAATGATAACTGAGATTATTGGAAATTAGTTTGAGTAGAGAAACTTGTCAAGGTGTAAAAACATATCTAATACTGTATGGTTTTGTGCTGACATTAAAGAGATATTTTTCTTTTTTCTTTATATTTCTTTATATAGTTTTCCAATATTATAGCCTTTCAGCAATTATTATATGCCCATTCTTATCCAAGGTTTGATATTGAGTTCACTACAGTTGTAACAGAAATCCTGGAAAATAACAAGGAAAGGAAGATATAACACTGACAGTGGAGAAATCCAATGACATTTTGAAGGCCTACTTCACTCTGTTAATGCCGAACCTCTGGATTTGGCAAGTAGAATTTTATCCAGAGTGCATATGGCAAGATCTAACAGTTCCTCAATGCTCTTCTTGCCCCCAGTTATGGTCTAAGTGCTTTCAGATGTCAATTCATCATTAAAACTATATTTGCCTTTTAAATAGGAGTAGAAGTAACAACTTTTTCAGAGAAGTGAATTAATTCACACAAGGTTAGACACATAGGGTGAATGGTTCAGATCAGTTCAGTCACTCAGTCATGTCCAACTCTTTGCAACCCCATGGGTTGCAGCACGCCAGGCTTCTCTGTCCATCACCAACTCCCAGAGCTTGCTCAAACTCATGTCCATTGAGTCAGTGATGCCATCCAACCATCTCATCCTCTATCATTCCCTTGTCCTGGCTTCAATCTTTCCCAGCATTGATAGCTTTCAGTGAATGATGTTGGATTCATGATCTCCAAAGAAGAAGATTTAGCTTTGGGACCAGGGACTAGACTTGATCACTCAAGAGGCTGTGTGTAGCAGAGTTATATTAAAGTAAGAAAAGGAACAGAGAAAGTTCTGACATAGACATCAGAAGCGGGATGCAGAGTGTTCCCCTCACTAGTGTTAGCAATGGAGTTATATACTTTTTAAATTAGTTATTATAATAAATCAAAAGAATATCTCAAGGTTGTAAAAATTTTACCAGACCCACTCCCACAATTTACATTTTAGGATAGCAGAATTAGAATTTAACAATAGAAAGATCCTACCAGACTCACTCCCACAATGTACCTTCTAAAGTATCAGGACTGGTCAGAAGGTTTTCAGGAAGCAGAAACTGTCCTCAAGCAGGGAACCTTGCTGTCATATAATCCTTAGTACAGAGTTTAAGCGGTTGTTTGTGTAATCATCCGTTCTGGGCTTAAAGGAAAAAATGTTTCATGTGACTAAAACTAAGAAATGTAGAGAAAAAAAAAAAGTTGGTCCTTTCTTCCTCCTCAAGAACCCCAGATCCCTCTCTTCTTGGGGACCACCAGACTTCTTATCAACCTGCCTAGGAACTGACTCTCTGAGCATCAGGGCCTTTTCCAATGAGTCAGTTATTCACATCAGGTGGGCAACATATTGGAACTTCAGCTTCAGCATGAGTCCTTCCAACGAATATTCAGGACTGATGTCCTTCAGGATTGACTGGTTTGAATTAAGAATTTCATAGGGTGAATGGTAGAATTAAGGATTTGAAGAAGGTAGAGTATCCATCTCCAGAAACTGTGATCTTATATCTTAAGCCACACTCTCCCTCCAATCTACAGATGATACAGGTTATGTCAGTAAAAAGAGAATAATATCTTCACACTATTGATAATTCTATTCAATAGTGTACTTTTTAATGCAAATTTTGAGTAATAAATAAAGGAAAATCAATTTATAACTAATGAAACAACAATAATGAATTATAATTAACCTCCCTTTCTGAAGGAAATCACTGCTTTGAACTTTGTTAGCAAATTTTTGCAACATATATTCTAAATAGTTCTTGAATATTACATTTAAATATCATTCTAGAGAGCATATTTTATAGATTACTAACATTCAGATAAGTTTCAAATGGAGAAAAATTCACATTGTTTTTAATTTCCTTTTAACTCATAATCTTTGATTAAAACTCTACTTTTGACTATTAGCTCATTATAGTGCATAGCTGTTCAGTTCAATTCTTGGCAATGCCAAGGACTGAAGCCCACCTGACTATTCTGTCCATGAGATTTTCCAGGGAATAATACTGGAGTGGGAAGACATTCCCTACTCCAGGGGATCTTCCTGCCCCAGGAATCGAACCAGTGACACTTGAATTTCCTTCTTTGGCAGGCAGATTAGCTCATTATACTTAATAAATGGAAATAAACAGTGTTTTGACGAGCACTCCTGTTTTGATAATGATGAGATTGCATCATTGTTCATATTATTTTGATAATGTTTAATAGAGAATTCAAATCTACAGACAGGCTTGCATATAAGGGACTTTCTCTCTTCTTTTACATCCCTCTGTCATTGCAGTTCAAATTCACACACACACACACACACACACACACACACACACACACAGTTTTTCCATAAATTTACCTAGTTTTCCATAGTATCTTATTTTCAAATTGTTAATGTATGTTTGAATAGTTTATTCACAATAATTTGAGAAATTATGTGGAGAATGCATAACGTTTTCCTGTCCTTCTTTTTAAGAAATCTATTGTTATTAACTGAGTAGCATGTAACAATGACTACATATTAATCACTCTGCAAGAAAAACACTATTGGTTTAATAAAGTGCAGGGTAATGTTGTCTCTCTCATTGATCCATCATCAATACATTAACTAACATTGACATGTGAAAGTGACAACATTTTTATTCCCACTGAGTCATTGGTCCCAAGATTAACACTGACAATTTTATTACTATCATTATTGACCTAAGCCACAGATATTCTGAAAATTCAAGCTAATCAAAGCCTAATTAAAATGATCAGATATTTGATTTCTGTCAATTGATAATGTTAATATTCACATTTTTAATGCTTCATAAAATTTCTATTAACTTTATATGTTTCATAGATATATAGAATTATTTTCTAGTATATATAAAATCTATTGAAACTAAAAGTAAACAAACATAGAACAAAACTAGAAAAGACAAAGTAGAAAAGCAAATAAAATAAAAGTCTATTTTTTATTTTGACTGGAAAAAACAGAAAATTAGATTTATATAAACATGCAGCAATTTTATAAACTTATTTGATTGTGTTGCATTGTGCTTTCAAGGAAGATCATATCTTGTTTGACCTCTAGTAAATCTCAAAGCATCCAGTTCTTTTCAATGTCATTATGTTTTCTCTTCCTATGACTTCATGCCTTTTTTCATGTTCTCCATTGTTTATAAGATTTCTAAAATTATTATATAATTGTAAGATATCATTAAGATGATGAAGAATTGGAGTAGACTATCTCACTTCCCCTTAACAACCACAGACTTAAACTGCATTGTTATTTGGTTTATGTCTTCTCAATCTGTAGTTATACTCCCAGTGTAGATAGATACCGTTTCTCCCCTGAAAATGAGTGAAATTCCTTATGCTGGAAAAAGGAATCAAAATGAATTGTTCACATCAAAACAGTGTAAGGAACTCTAAAATATGCTCTGCTATGAAAATACACATGGAAAATTTAATCACTTTGCTCCGCATGACATCAGCATGAGGAGGAGTGGGGCAGAGGTGAGCACAGTTTATGTGACCTGTGGAGCCAGAAGAGAAAGAAGATTGCATTGGTGAATCAAGAAAGAAGTACTCTCTGGTGAGTCCTCTGGTCTCTGAAGATATCTCGCCTACCTGATTATCAAGCATGTTTCTGACATATGGTGCTATGGTCTGTATGTCAGGACTCATGGTGGTGCTGCTGGTAAAGAATCCACCCACCAATGCAGGAAATGCAAGAGATGTAGATTCAATCCCTGGTTAGAAATTGGCAACCACTCCAGCATTCTTGCCTAGACAATCCTATGGGCAGAAGAGCCTGGTGGGCTATAGTCCATGGGGTCTCAAAGAGTCTGAAATGACTGAAGTGAGTAAGCACATTAACATATATATACACACACATATATGTATATGATAGAAACTTGATCACTAAACTCAATTTTCATCTTAATCCTTAGTGGCATAGTGTAATCTTTTTGAGAAATGAATTTCATATCATTTACTTTCTTCTTGTTTGCAAGGCTTTTACATAAAAAGTAATCTTTATATTTACTGAGAAGCATGTTTTGGTAATCATATTTTTATTTTAAAAGGATCAATTGTATCTAAAACATGCCATATGTATAAAATCTACAAACTATTTCAAATCATTGTCAATGGAGTTTACTGATATTTTGGAAGGTCAAAAATCACAAAATGAATTAACTGATATATTTAGTAGATTATGCTGTTTCTCAAACATATACCAGTGTTATTAACTAATGGAAGAGAGGGTCACAGTGGTTGAATTGTACAATAAAACCCCCTCAGCATAAAATACACACATGCAGACAAATGGATAAGGAAGCTGTGGTACATATACACCATGGGATATTACTCAGCCATTAAAAAGAATCCATTTGAATCAGTTCTAATGAGATGGATGAAACTGGAGCCCATTATACAGAGTGAAGTAAGCCAGAAAGATAAAGACCAAAGGTATGGTGAGGCCAACATAAGATTATTGCTTCTGAAAAGAGAGCTTGCTCCTCTGTTTCTTGGAGGAGGGGGAACGCCACAGCATGCAGGACCACATGAGGAAGCACCAGGATAGATGAAGAGGCAGAAGGTGCAGGTAGGAAGCAGGGCACGAGTCTTTGTTATGGCTTCCACAGGAAAAGCAAGGGAAGACAGGGTAAAGATTTATGGTCAGCTTTTGAATAAATTTCAGTGTGTTCAGGGATGTAGAGACTGTTTTGAGTTGTCTGCTGTCTGGCCAGTGGGTGATATAAGGGCAAAAGATAAGTGGTTCAACCAGTGAGAGTTCCAGAAAGATGGTAACTGGCTAGTGTATACTCTGAAATGGTTGATTGGCAAGAGTCCTTGGCTTCTGTAAATATCTCTCTTAATCAAAATAAGCTTTATTAGAATATACATTTTTTAAAAATTTATTTCATCATCAATTGCCACAGGGAAGCATTCAAAATAATCAATATTGATTAATCAATAGCATCAGTAATGTAAGCATTTAATTAATGTAACATGAGCAAAAATGTTGGTAGCCACCTATCTAACTATATCTTTCTCCTAAAGAATTATTACATGACCTCTGAGTATATCAAGTAAAAATGGACACTCATTTGGAAATGAGATTAAAGAAATAATGTGTTTGAAGAAGGAAAATATAAATGTAGGATGAAAATAATTTGTATGTATGTACAAGATTTAAACATATTTGTGCTTTAAAAGCAGGGGTTTATTTTTAAAATTTCTCTAGAAGAGTCATTTAAGAGTTTTAAAAGGTTTCTGAAACTTAAGAGAATTAGCACAAAAACTTCTTAAATCTCAGGAAGTCTGAAGGTCTTTTGATTTTAAACCATTAATAGAGTTTTGGTTATAAGACTCAATCTTTGTCACCCTTTGGATGCTTCTTGGTTTCCATTCATTAAATTGGCAGAGAAGAGGAGCTTCTTCACCAACCGAAACTGAAACAGCTTTATAGTTCTATCTGAATGCTCAAATACATTTCCAAATAAAATGCTAAAGTGTCCTGTTTTCTTAATATAGTAAAATATGCTTAAGTTCTAATCAAGAGAACAGTGCCTGAATTAGTGATTCAAAAACCTGATTGTGCTTTCTTTTCTATTTTTAAAAACTGTATTTTAAATTATCTTGAGTGTTTACAAGCCCCAATTTTAATAATATTTATTATGATGTAAATGCAGGGCAAGAAGTGAAAAGTATCATTAGAATAGCTATCACAAACTCATTATTTAAAAATAACAGTTTTCATTTCTCTACTGTAATTTAGACTGTCTTTCAAACATTTTTGCCACAAAAAATGACTTAAGTATCACAATAATGGATATTAAAATTTAAAGTGAAATTTGAACTAAAAATAATCACAAAATTTAATTGAAAATAAGAAATATAACTTGAATTTATATATTTTGAAATATGTTAACATTGACTGAAATTATAAGAAACTTTTCAAATTAATTTTGTAAAATCCAGGAAGTTTAAGTGAGATAGATAAGAGCAGTGCTATCCTCAAATCTCAAGCCCGTTACCTCTTCCCTAGACCAGAGATAACAAATAGATTTCAAATAGTACCAAGTCTAATTTACCGGTAGTTCCTTCCAAGTACACTGAATTGAAAGTATTTCCAGACCTCTGTGATTTGAGGGAAAACATGCTGTGATAGACAAATGCTTTGCCACGGGTGTGGGCCAAGAATGGCTCTATACCCATCACACAGTTGTCACTCCCGCATTAACGAAAGCGTAATAGAAGAGCCAAGAGAGAAGAGAGACACAACAGCTATAATGCAGAAGATGCTGAGAAGTGACATTTTTAGAGATTTCTCTTTCATGGGATGGTGATCATTGAAAAGTTAAAGATGAGTAAAATGTTTTCTAACAATCAGGAGTTTACAAGACTTAGAGACTATCAGTCACTAAATAAACTATCAGTCACTAAATAATCAAAATGATACCAGTGGCTTAGAACAGTATTTGTGCATTTCTTACTCACATTGTTGCTTGAAATCTCCAGGATCTGTAAGGTTTTTTCACACCTCTGCTATGTAATGTCTATATCCTGGAATGAAATCAAAATGATCAACCCCAGGGACCTGCTGAAACTGCCAAATGACTGTGAAAGTTTTGCTCAGAATTGGCAGACTGTCACTTCTGCTTTCATTTCCTTGGCCAAAACAAATCACAGACCCATTCTGATGTTAAGGTAGCAAAGCAACAGACTCCTCCCAAAGAAGGAAATGAAGTCACACAGCAAGGATCAGCAATATATACACATAATGGGTGGGTACTGGCAATACATCATTAGTGAGGCCAATCAGTTCAGTTCAGTCGCTCAGTTGCCTCAGACTCTTTGCAACCCCATGGACTGCAGCAAGCCAGTCTTCCTTGTCCATCACCAACTCCCAGAGCTTACTCAATCTCATGTCCATTGAGTCTGTGATGCCATCCAGCCATCTCATCCTTTGCCATCCCCTTCTCCTGCCTCCAATCTTTTCTAGCATTAGGGTCTTTTCCACTGAGTCAGTTCTTTGCATCAGGTGGCCAAAGTTTCGGATTTTTAGCTTCAGCATCAGGCCTTCCAATGAATATTCAGGGCTGAGTTCCTTTAGGATTGATTGGTTGGATCTCCTTGCAGTCCAAGGGCTTCTCAAAAGTCTTCTCTAACACCACAGTTCAAAAGCATCAATTCTTCAGCGTTCAGCTATCTTTATGATCCAACTCTCACATCCATACATGCCTACTGGAAAAACCATAGCTTTGACTAGATGGACCTGTGTTGGCAAAGTAATGTCTCTCCTTTTTAATATGCTGTCTATGTTGGTCATAGCTTTTCTTCCAAGGAGCAAGCCTCTTAATTTCATGGCTGCAGTCACCATCTGCAGCAATTTTGAAGCCCAAGAAAATAAAGTCTGTCCCTGTTGTCATTGTTTCCCCATCCATCTGCCATGAAGTGATGGAACCGGATGCTATGATCTTCCTTTATTGAATGTGAGTTTTAAGTCAACTTTTTCACTCTCCTCTTTCACCAAGAAGCTCTTTAGTTCTTCTTTGCTTTCTGCCAGACGGGCAGGGGTGTAGGCCAGACTCGGTGGACCCTGACTGCCTGCAGCCCTCCCCCAGATCGGCACTTTCTAGGCGGCCACCTTCCTCGACTTCTGTGGCACAACATGAAGCAGCCCACCCTCCCTGTTGCCCCCAGGGCCTCCACAGCCCCCTGGAACGCACAGAAACACGGACTCTGCCGTCTCGGCTCCCTCTGTCTGTCTGGACTTCGTCTCACCTCCTGGTCCTGGGCCACAGCTGGCCAGCCTGAGGGTGGACCCATCACCCAGCCCCATCCCCCTGCGCAGGATCCCCCAGAAGCTGCCCCTCAGCACAGATAGTGAGCATCTTCAGTCAGGAGGCCCCGCCGCCTATGAAGTCCCACCTCAACTGCTCCTCCCATGGCCCTGAGGCTGAGGTGGCTGCCAACCATTGTCCCTGGGGTCTGGAGCCTCTGGCCTACCGCTCCGCCGCGAGGTGCGCAGCGCAGGCCTCCACGACGGGCCACACACTCTCAAGGGGCTCCCCACCGCCCCGGGTCCTGCGCAGTGCCTTATGGGTGATGGTCCAGCAGCTGCTCCGACTAGCTCTCAGAGGCAGAGACAATAGCAGAGTATATATATAATAGTGTAATTAACCTATCAGTGTAAATGTTGATGCTTAGTTTTCCCCTCCAAAAGCTAATGTTATAAAGAACATAGCCATATATGTCCTTCATGAGCCTGATTCCAAATTTTATTGGGCTCTATATCTGTAGACAGTCTGATTTTTATCGTCATCTTATTCCAAAATTTGAAAGATGGGGCAAAATATTCTGGTGACCGACATCTCTTTTGTTTTGTTTTGTTTTTTTCCCCAACTTTCCTGAATTTGACATTTTAATAATGTGAAGTGTTGTGTCGCATATTTAAACTGCCTGTTCCTAACTTTGTTAGTGTTGCTATTGGTTTTCTTGCCATTTTTTCAGTTAATTAGCAGAAGTTTCTGTATATTGTAGATGTTCAGTGCTGCCACTTTCAGACACTCTATCAAATGTTCCTTGTTACCTCTGTCATCCATAATCTCTTTTACCTCACCGTTACATCCAATCAGCCACTGAGAATTGTTTATTCTATATACCAAGACTCTGAAATGTATCTTCTTCCATCCATTCCCCTCTCCCTATGTTCTAATTTAGTGGACATGAATTTGAGCAAACTCTAGCAGATAGCAGAAGACTGGGGAGCCTGGCATGCTGCAGTTGGTGGGATCACAAAGAGTCAGACATGATTTAGTGACGAAATAACAACAAATCATTTATTGCTGGACTGCTATAGTTACTTCTTACATTTTTTCCTGTCCATTCATACCGTACATCTTTGATATATCTCCTACAGTGCGACCAAAGTAATGGTCTTGTACTAAATAATAATAATAATAATGGTAACAAAATAATCATTTATTTAGTGTTTACTATTTACAAAACATTTTAAGTTTTCTATATGTATTTACTAATGGAATCTTCAAAACAGTCCTATGAGGTATGTTACATTAAGACTTTCATTAAGATTTCAGCCAAGTAAACTGAAATTTTGCACTGTAGTGAACGTTAACACTGTGAACTCCAGCACCATATTGCTAGATACTAGTTTTCGTTTGTACATTGCCTCTCAAACTAAAATTCTAATCATGTCATCCTGCAAGTTAAAAATGATTCATATTATGGCATTGCTTTGGCATTACAGGAGTTTCCAATCTCTACTCTGCTTATATTCTAGCCTCAACCTGTTGTGTTTCTTCTGTTTCTGAAGATCAATATTGAGGGTATTTTCTCTTGATTTATGTTTTATGCTTGTTCTTTCTACCTGGAATTCTCCCTTCTCTTCCAACTCCATCTGGCTAAGGTTTATTTAACATTCAGACATAACAGAAATCACTTTCTCTGGGCAATCTCCCTTTGTACACAGTGGGTGCTTGCCTTATGTGTCTTCATAGTACTTTGAATACTGCATCTTCTTCCATCCATTCCCCTCTCCCTATATTCTAATTTAGTGAACATGAATTTGAGCAAACT